GGATACATTCCTGTCTAGGTGTTCAGGAGAGAGGGGAGCCTTGCCCCCATCCTTCTGTACAGGATCCTGGTCCAGGGGCCTTAAAGGGACAATGTCCTGGTTTTTCCCATCCATCTACTAATTCATCAGGACTGTTTCCTGTCTGCCTGCAACAAGACCATTTTTAAGTTTATTCCAACATTCCTGGAGCCAGGTTTTCTGGTCCCCTCTAGTCTGAAAGGGTCAGTTTACTCTGTGACACATCTCTAGTCCTATTCAATATTCCCCTGTTTATACAGGGAAGGATCATATTAGTTCTTTTGACCACAGCATTGCACTAGGATCACATGTTCAGTTGATTATCTATTGTGACCCTCAAGTCTTTCTTAGGGTCCTTGCTTCCCAGAATAGAGTCCCATGTCCTATGAGTATATTGAAACGCATATTGTTGTTTGCTTCCAGTTTACCCAGTAATCTGGGTCTGGTCTGTCCTCTTCAATGTTTACTAATACCTCCCAGTCTTTGTGTTATCTACAAACTTTTATCAATAATGATTTTATGTTTTTCTCCAGGTCATTGATAAAAATGTTAAATAGTGCAGGGCCAAAAACCAATCCTGGTGACTCCCCAGTAGAAACACACCCACTCAATGACGAGTTCCCATTTACACTTGCATTTTGAGACCAATTGGGTAGCCAGCTTTTAATCCATTCAGTGTATGCTATGTTGATTTTTATATTGTTCTAGTTTCTTGATCAAAGTGTTGTGCGGTACCAAGTCAAACATTATTACCTTTATCAGCAAAATTTGTAATCTCATTCAAAAAGTATATCAAGTTAGTTTGGCAAAATATGTTTTCTACAAACCCATGTTGATTTTCATTAATTATATTACCCTCCTTTAATTCTTTATTAATCAAGTCCCTTGACAGGTATTTCATTATTTTGCTGGGAGTAATGTCAGTCTGACAAGCCTATAACTACCCAGGTTATCCTGTTGACCCTTTCTTGGCTCTTGGAAGACAGCACACCATCCTGTTGTCTTTTTGCCTCTTGCAGAATGTTCTTTCCATTCTTCTTAGTATGGAATCTCCAACAAGGGTCATCTGTCTTCCTTGGACAGTTGGGGATCTCTTTGTGGGCACACTTGATTGCCTTGTGGGTTACGATATGTCCCATACAGCAATGTATTCCATTCCTCCCACCAGGAACTTCAGAGTTTTTCTGCAGTTTTCTCACTGACAATATAACAGTAGGATACGTCTAGCTGTGTAGAATTCCTCTTGGTTTTCTTTCTGATAAATCATAGCCTGCCCATCATCATCCACTTTCGTTAGGGGGTTAGTGGTGCTTTCCCATGGCTTCTCTATTTGCAGCTGGTGTTGAATATAAAAGAATGTTTGCCTACTGAATTGAGGAGCAGCATATATGCTATGCCATTATGCATTCTATATATTTGCTGTCTATAATGCGGTAGATAACATATTAAAGCACTGGGAAGAAACAACTGAGGAGAGTTGGCAATTTTTCAAAGGGACACTATTAA